ACACGCATAAGGACAGTCACATCCTCCACCAAAGGGCAGTTTGAGACCTGCTGGGACGTGCAGCTCTCGACCACCCGCAGCTGAAGCCTTGAAGCTGATTTCCAGGTGCCAAGCGAGGCGGAAAAGCTACAACGGGCAGGAGGGCAATGAAACATTTTGGCCAGATCAGAGGAAGAACCTGACTGAAGCTGGGGAAAACTCACTTCTTGCTCAACAGTGAAGAATAAATCAGGCCTCCTATAGTGCATTTTACCTCTAAAGTATTCTGTAAGAAGAGGACTATTACTACTCTTTCTAATGAAAACACAGAGGCTAAAACCTGTCTTTTCAAAATGAATCGGTGACCTCAAAGCTTACATTTCCCATTGAGACTTCCTAAGCAGATCTCCTTTTCACAATCATGATTGCTCATCCTTTGAGAAACAAAGTCTTTTATGTCAAGGGCCTAGAAAAAAAAATATATAATTTTTCCAAATGCAGATCCGAGTGAGCAAATATAAGAATTTCACACAACAGTTAATCAGCAAACTCCTCCTGGTTTCCAGTCCTTTGCAAAACCCACTACAAGCTGACATGGGAGATGACAAAAAATTCCTTTCAATTTTTGTAGTAATTAATGTTAATAGAATGTTTTTTCGCCAGCCTGGATGGTAGCTGGATGCCTGGTTCTAGCAATCACGCCCACTGTTATGACCCATTGTTATAAAAGCACAGGAAGAACTGCATCAGCTGTCAGGGATGTGCTTTTGCTGACCAGGGCTGTGCTGTATTGTGGGTTTTTGTGCATACACCGAGCCAGGTCCACAGCAAACCAGTGCAGGTTCACAGGGCTCTGGAAACTGCAGCGGTTCAAAATGGAACATGGCTTATCCTGCCAATAAGAGGGCTATTTCCCCTCCTCCCTGATTTCTCCTGAAACAGAGTTTGGCCTTTGATCAGTCGCTCACTTTGATAAATCTCCCACATTTAAGCAGCTTCAGTTCTGTCAGTTAAGAGAGCAGTGGCATATATCACACTAGGCAGTTTATTAATAGTTTGACTCTTCAAATGTTGCTTTTTGAAATGCCAACGCAAGCAGAACACAAAAATACCGTTTGCCGTATTTATTTTTTTAACTAAGCTCTGAATTATACAAGTGTAAAAGTGATTAATTAGCCAATAGCTTTTTAATACTCCTATAAAATATGACTAAATAGAGTATCTCAAAAGTATGTACAATAGAATGGAAATGCTAACATAATCTGTCACAGTGCTCGGACATACCGCTGTAATCAGGTCTGGCATGACGGTTCAGCCCGTCGCTCAGTACAAAGAACAGTCTTTCTTTTTGCAAAAAGCTTTTCCACTGTTGCTGAAAGGGAAGGAGTAGGGGAAAAAGACCAAAATAAAACCAACCCACTCCTCTCACCCAGTTTAGGCCCAAATAAATCTTACATAATTTATCCATGGGGCATGTTTTTATAATTTAAAGCCCTTTACAATAACTATATCTGTAGTGTTTTTATGGTTGAGGAAGGGATGCTCCTGTCGTGTTTTCTTGCTGAAAACAAAGCAGACTTGAGTGTGTGTGTATGTGTTAGGAAGGGGGGAGGTTTGTACTACCTTGTCTTAATTACAAAAATCAAGGCAACAGAGTTTCTTTGTTCTTTTGTTCCAAAACAAAGCAGATTTCAAAATACCCTTCCTCCAAGCGCTGTAACTGTACTTAGGAAGTCGTTAAAATTTCAGTTTCATATCTGAAGAGGTCAGAAAGGACAAGCAGGCAGCGAGAAACAGAATCAGCAGTTGTACTCCCCTGATTTCCTCTTTTAATTTCCAAGCAGCAGCAGGAGCAAGGTCTACCCAAGAGAGGGCCCCAGGGCATCGCTGCCAGCCGCTCCCACAGGTTCCTGCTCTGGAAAGGAAATAAAAAGGACATTGTCTATGTCACTGTGCATCAGAAGCTGTAATGTAACACAGAGATTTCGTTCTTATTTGGAGTATTGTGACATGAGGGTCTACTTCAGTGCTGTGGACACCCCATGACAAGTGCGAGGCAGAGGGACCGAGCTCACAGAAGCTACGCAAAAGAAAATTCCCACTGAAGTCAGGGTTCTTGCCTGTGAATTCCTGAATTAAACAGGACAGTTACTCTTCCAGATGGTCAGTGTTTTTTGAAAGAAGCCTTTCTTCCATGCCAGGCAAGAACCTGCCTTTAGCAAAATACCAGGTTCTCTTAAGAGTCACAAATGCTGTTTCTTTTATGATAGTGACATTAGTCCGTAATACCTGAAACATTTTTCCATGACTGTTATTTTATCATATAAAGGTGATACATAAGCTTTAACCAGTTACAACAGGCTGGTTTGAGTTTTCAGGTTTGTTGCCGTGTTTCTCTCTCTGTGCTTTAACCAGTGAGCTGCGTTCCAGCCCCTCCTGGGCTGTACTACCTTTAGTCATTGAACGGGGACTGGTTTTAAATCTGTCTGAAAATGCACTTTGAGAAAAGAACAATTAGGACCCAATGCTTTAATGTGCAGAGTAGTTTTATATCATTTGAAGCCAAACTCTGTAGTATAGAACCAAGCCTCTCCAAAGTCTGCGTATGTGGATTCAAGGACTAGATTTGGCCTCCAACACTTTTGCATGTTAAAAAATCCAGAGTATCAACTTTGAGTGGAGATGATCTCCAATCGCTTCCATCAACTGAGGATGTGGCCACTAATCTCTTCCAGACAGCATATATCAACGAAAAAAATCTTACGCGTTTAAATCTTACTCTGCCTGTTTATACTGGTCTAAACCCCATGGACTCAAAAAGGACAGTGGTGTTACTCCTGAAGTCCTGTAGGTGGCCTATGACGGTGTTTTCAACAGGAACATCAGGTCACAGTCCTAGGGTACTGAGTGACTACTCACGTAAATCAATTCTAAACGCGTCACTGATAAAATTAGTGAAGTGAAACCTCTTAAGAAGTTACTTTAAGACAACTTTACACAGACATCACGAGGACACTAAACCCCCATTTTTTGTTCAGTCTCTGCTGTATTTAATGTGCTTCTTCCTATTAGTGTAACATACACACACTGATGTCCATAATGCAGTAACAAGTGTCACATTATAGAGAGATACTAAGTAAAGCACTAGAGCCCGACAGGAATATTTAGGGGGCTGTGGTGGTCAGAGAATGAACTATAGGAGAACGCTAAGTCCCCATTCTCAGAACGTCCTCCTGTCTTCGCCAACAAATCAATGTGTTTTTCTTCCTGGAAGTACTGCGGAGGCAGCGCCCCAGCGAGGGGGACTCGACTCCGCTGAAGCTTTACGCGTGCTAATTAGGGGTGGAATGGAACCCTCCCTCAGAAACCAGATCATTCGGTTTTATGACAAGAATCTTGATTACAGAACCTAAGCTGATGTCTCAGACCTAGAATGAGTTTCCAAGATGTATTTACTTATTTCAGCTTGCAAAGGATTTTAAACAGTGGAAACTCACTGTGCCATTTTATAGTCACTTTGGGGAGTACAGCTGCAGCTAATTAGCTTAAAAATCCCACTGTATCTTACACATATGCTCAGTTTTCTGCAGTATTAATTTCAGTGGAACTACTCCTGTGCATAAATTAAGCGCATGCTTAAATATATGCAAAATCTGAGCTCAAATGTCTAGAAAACATGTACTCAAAATGACAGGTATGCATTTAAAAAAACCAAATAAAATCATCACAGAAGGGCTGCCAGACAGGGAATCCGGTATCTGTCTGCTGTCAGCCATGATGAAAACACAGACCAATTTTTGTAACCCAACATACATTGCAAGTGAAAGTAACATGCAGGACAGAGTGAAAAAAGGGGATTCGATTGCATGCAGTCTAATTTCAAGTGTGTAGTCATGGTCCTGTTTTCTTTGGCCTAAAAAAAAAGAAAAAAAAGGAGAGAGAAAAAAACCCCCTCAACAAAAGAACACCAACTAACCTCTCCTCACCTCCACAAACCCAAACTGCATACAGCTCCAACACGGAATTTAAAGCACAGGAAGTGGGGAGGGGAAAGGTCTGACTATTAAAGAGGGATGAGCAATTAATTACTAACAGTTTCAGGGCTATTCCACACACCACTAGGAAAGCATTCAGCCTGACCCGCTACGAGAACTTACAGCTATGACAGAGAGCAACCAATCCCATCTTAAATGAGCAGCAGTTAGCTTCTTTTTTTTTTCCTCAAACTCAGAGAGAAGTATCACTTGTAGCTTTATAGAAGATAAAATGACAATCCCTGTTGATGTTCTGGCTCCCTCCTCCTTAGAGAGGACTGCAAGACACTGGACTCTCCAGCAAGCTGCTGCCTCTGCCCTCAGCCCAGAGAGCTCTGTCTCACATCTCTGCCACCACTGAGGACCAGGGCACGCCACAGCTCGTGGTGGAAGAGGGTGTTTTTCAGCCATTTCTAAAAGCTTTGCAATGATAGTGTTTCTTACAGAAAATTCCAAGGGGATGAAAAGGCCACCAAGCCGCTAGCAGATTAAAACCAACACACATAACCCCTTTAGGAAAAAACTAAACCAAACAGTAAAAAGGGAAAAGACTGAGGCCTGCAGGGAAACTGAGGAGGTCAGAGGAGCAGGCTGCTTGGTGAAGGGCAGTAGCAAGTATTCTGGGAGTCTGAGTACCAAGCCTGATATCGGCCTAATTCTCCACCCTGAATGATCTCTCTGGTAGCGGTGTTTCAGCATGAGAATTATAGCTGTGAAAAAATCCTCAGACTGAAATCCTCCCCTTTTTTCTTCAGCCTTGATTTGTCCTCTCCAGAAAAAATCTATCAGTTGGTGTGTGATATGGTTACACATACAAAGATCTTTTTCCTAGCCCTTTTATTACATAGCCTTGATTGCTGTGAAGGGATTTCAATGAGTTTAATGTCCTGGTACTTGAAAGGCAAGGGTTGCCTTTCAACAAAACAAAGCAAACAAAAAACCAAGAGCTGTGCTGGAGGAGAGAAGTGCTGCTTCTGCCGGAGAAGCTCAGTTAGATACAGGAGGTGGCAGACCAGGGCGTCGAGTTTGAATGATTTTTGGCTTTGGAGAATTCTTTGGGTCCTCATCTTCTTCCATGTCGCTGTCACAGACGTGCACTACCACACTGGGGGTGGACTCTGTCCCTGCGTGCAGCTCATATTTCTCTCCTGGAAGCAGAACAAAATAGTTAGATCTAAAGACAGTCTGAGTAGCAACACAGATTAAGGAGCTCTTGGGCTGCAGAATACTCCTGCACCTGGGCAGAGGAGGGTGTCCTGCTCCTAAATGTAGATGAGGGTGAGCGTGTCTCAACTATATCAGCTGTCACAACAGGTTCTGGGGACCCTGCCCCTGGGGGGCAGTGATCATTAGTCTCTAAGGCTTAATAAAATACCCTGGTGTCATTAATGGGGTTTTACACCAGTATTAGTGGCCAACAGCGCTGAAAGAAAAAAAAAAAGAGAGGACGCAGAAGTTCATGGTTAAGTAGAAGGAGTAGAATCCAACTTATCGAATGTTTGGACTGAAGTCATGCCACACCTGTTGGGTTGGGGCTATTCTTTTTTGTTGTTTTCTTTCAGTGTTGCATAGCTCCAGTCTCATTTAAAGTCACTAACTTGTTGCCCCCAGACAGACATCAACACTCGCTCCAGAAAAAAAAAACAACATATATCTGCTCCTGACAGATTTTAAGATTCAAAGCTCTTTAGCTGGGGCTGTAATGAATGTTGTTTCTACAGATGAGATTAGAGAGTACTGTAAATGCTCACTAGTAGGCTGAACACTTGAACAGCACATTAAATTTTCTAACTATGTACATTCCTTACTTAAGTCTCCACCCAGCACTCCTGTGAGGAAGATGAACATGGCTTAGGTGGTTACCACAATTAAACAAAGGAAAAGCATGATCAGACATCGGACTTGAAGTCCTGCGTCCAGTCTGTTGGCACGACCTGTGTTTCGGGTTGTGCACAGGATGTCAGCAGGTATTGGTTATTAAATTGCAAGGAATTAATTTAAGACTGTAAAGGAAAAAAGGTCCTATCAGTGACATTTCTGACAGGATGGCTTGGTTTTTCTGAAGTGACAATCACAGCAATAAAAACTAGAATCCATTCCAGATAATGTGCTTCTTCCCTTTGGACTATTTGCCATCACTCATATCCAAGACCCACAAGTTGCAGTTAAAGGAAAATAGGCTTGCAGTCATCACACGCACACCTGATAGCTCGGATTTTTTTTTGTAAGACTGCTGCAGAAGCCCTGCATATTGCCTGCAAAATATTTGCGATGAGGATGATGTGGTCCCAATGTACTTAGGTGACCTGTAGTTCATAGAATCATAGAATCATAGAACAGTTTTGGTTGGAAGAGACCTTCAAGGTCATCGAGTCCAACCTTTAAAAAACCTTATTTGTGGTGCAACAGCTCCTATAGGCCTGTACCACGGGCAGAACCCAGCAGTGCTAGGTGTTGTGCATGAAAGGGATATGGCAGCCCCTACTTCAAAGCAGTTTGATTGTGTTACTAATTCACATTTTTATTTATTAACAACTTCGTGGCAGGGTAATTCATGTGAGGAAGGGCTTTCAGGTATGACTCTGCATTAGCACACTTCTGGGACTGTGCTCACACGACATTTGTGCTGACAAATTCTTGGTTCCAGATAAGACCAGGTGGCTTTGCGGCTAGAGGACACACTGCATTTTTGCCTAAAAATTACGAGGCAACTAGTGAATAATAGCTATAAGCCAGGCATCTTGCTGTGAGAACTATTTTACGGCTGTGATACTATTAATGTTGACATTTAACTGCTCTATTTTTGGCAGCCTTTCCTCAGAATCCAAATTGAGCAAAGCATCGCAGGTCTAAAATATATTTAAAAAAAAAAAAAAAAAAAGAGGAATAGCTTGGTTTTGTGCTGCACTGAGGAATTATTTGGCTTTTCTTTGCCTGTTTCCCCTGCGGGCTTCAGCTAATTTCTCAGCTACGAGCTGACGTCAATGCTGCCAACCGGCACCAAAGGCGACATCGGTCACTGTCAGCTACGAGCACATCCGGCATCGGGTCCTCTCCTCCTACACCAGCACCACCAAGTAAATCAGATGCACTGCCCTCTTCAAAGGTAATAATCCCAGTTCAAATGCCACATGCTTTTACTGTTCAACTCCTCCCCGGAAGGACTGTTTTCTGCTGAGAAAGAGCAGTGGAAATAAGTGCAGGCATGAGGGAAAATATTCAGATGCCTCTGGCACAAGGAACAGCAACAGCAATTAATGTCGCTTTGCAGATCAAAACGCCATGCGCTCATAAATAAGGTTTTTAAGGCACGCAGTTATTTCTGAGCATAGATGAGCTGCAGACTCAGTTCTGCGCTCATGATTATTCATACCTGAAGAACTGTGCCTCAAACTGCAGAAAACCTTTTTAGGCACAGGACAACAGGAACCATGGGACTTCTGTGCAGCTGCATCGTTTCTAAACATAACCGCTGTTTGCGGAAAAATACGCAGGTAATGAGTACAAAATAAAAACCCAGTAGATAGAGCCAGATTACCCCTTCTCTTTTGCTTTATTCTGTTGGGTTTTATTTTCCTCTTAAGCAACATAAAAAAATTAAAATAATAAAAATTGAGCTAAATCTGCAGCAGTTAAGGTAGTGAAGTAATGGGTGAATCACTGCAATCGAGTTACATTTACAAGACGTAGGTTGTCCCAAGCTAAGCTGAGTCAGTGTAGTTAAGACTCACCAGCTTCTGTAGTTAATATCACTCAAGCATTTTTTCAGTTTTCTCGTTCAGTCGTCTCTGATGCTGCCTCCTTTGCATTCTCAGGCCCTTCCCTGCCCCATCGCTCCTGCTTCTCCCACTTGCCTGGAGAACTCTTACAGGCTAAGCCAAAGGATTCTTAAGGAGAAGTTTCTTCCTCCTCCAGCAGCCTTTGGGCTACTTTTATTGCTTATTCTTAAGTTCTTCATGTTGGCTGAGATAACCATGAAAACTCACAGAAATTTACTCAGGAAAAGGTTACAAAATTTATCAAACATGCTCAAACATCTAAAGTGTTCCTTTGGGATACAATACAGGGAAGAATTAAACCTGCAAGACCCTCACAGTATGTATTTGCCAGAAAATCTTCTAACAAACCTCTGAGAATAGCAGCAATGTTCCTATTATTCATTTGCTTTGCGTAACAAAAAAATAGGAACGTGCAGTTTCACCATTCAACAATGGGCCCAGCTGCTTTTATGTCCCTTGGCACTACCTTTTGTGGCCGAATTAACCACACGCAAACCCACAGCCTCAGGTGACGCGAGGAAGACGACAAGAACAGCATAAAAGCAATTTAGGGTATTTCAGAATTCAAAATAACGGCGTGTGATTTTCTATCCCTCTGAATCAGCATTATGACCTTTCATTGATGGTGTGTCTCTGGCCTAATGAGGCACTTCTGCCCAGCAAAGGGTATGTTCATACACTTAATTAATAATGAAGAAACAGTAATGATACTGTGCAGCTACCTCATCCCTGACTTTGACTTGCGATCAAAGGTTAATGGGTTCAGAGCTGTCCATTCCATGTTAAACACGCCATTAGCATCACAAAAATACCTTCCACTTAGTCCCTCCATCCAAGAGCTTTACAAATACTGGGTGGTGCTTTGTACAAGTCTGTGTTGATGCTGGAAGAGGTACAATCCATCCCACATAATACCTCTGCTGCACGGATCTAACATAGGCAAAAAGGAGTTCTCTGGAAGACCTCTGATGCTGCAGAGGAAGGGAGAAATTTCTTTACTGAAAGAGAGGTGAAGCACTGGAACAGGCTGCCCAGAGAAGTGGTAGAGTCACCATCCCTGGAAGTGTTCAAAAAATGTGCAGATGTGGCACTTCGCAACATGGTTTCGTGGTCGTAGTAGTGTTGGGTTCATGGTTGGACTAGATGATATTAGAGGTCTTTTCCAACCTTAATGATCCTATCCTATCCTGTCCTGTCCTATCCTATCCTATCCTACCCTATCGTAACCCTGGCCAGAAGAACAAGGCAGAGGCAAAGCTTTCTGCACCCAGCAGCTCTCCTGTACCCTGCTCCTGGTAAAGGGAGGGAAGGGCAGAAGCAGCCCCAGAAGAGAGGGGAGAGGAAGGACAGAGATGGGAGCTTTTATCTATGACCTGTATGCCTGCCCCTCTGCCTCCTTTTAATCCTCTCTGGAAGTCATATGAAGCATTTAGTCCTTTCTTTGAATCAGCAGAACAAACACAAGAGTCGGAAGACACCTGCGCACAGACAACTTGCCACGTGAGACCTGGTTTGAAATCCCTGCCTGAGGGATTTACTGGGCAGGGTCCTGCTCTTCTGGAGTCACCTTCCCTGGAGGTGTTCAAAAAACGTATAGGTGTGGCACTTCAGGATATAGTTTAGTGGTCATGGTAGTGTTGGGTTGATGGTTGGACTAGATGATCTTTGAGGTCTTTTCCAACCTTAATGACTCTATGATTCTGTGATTCCTTGTCTTCCGTTTCCCCGTGCAAGGGCAAGCCAAACTCAGGGGCAAGAGCTACACATCCTTCTCATGAAGTCCAGCAAGACCCAAGCCCTCCTCTACCCACTAATCATTCCCAGACCCAGCAGCCAAGTGGCACAGACTGCTGCAGCGTCCCCTTTGTTTCCTACAAGGTACCTCTGTGGACCTAAGAGCCATCACACGCTTCAGTATGGGGCTTTCATAATGTGAAAAAATGTATTTTACATGACCTGGATTGTAGCCTGAGGGTACGTAGGAGGTGCAAAGGCTGCTGGAATGCTGGTGAAGGACTGGGAAACATGGAGAGAACTGAAACTGGTATAAATTGGTCGATATGGGCTACTGGAGATGGTGCCCAGCCTGTGTTAGTTTTCAAATAGTGCCTATATTTGGGGAGGTGAGTGAGTGCTAAGTGACAAGAGGGCAACATCGCACCGGGGAGCACACGGAGCTGCGAAGCGCTCGGGAGCCTGACCTCCCCTGTGTGTCATTTTCCAGTGCAGAGCTCATCAGTGGAGATGTGATCCATAAATCAAAGGCTTGGGAGAAAGGCAATTTGGGTGGGCAGCAGGCAGGGCTTGAGATGGGCAAGGGGAGGCCGGGGCGGCCCCTGGGATCCTGGGGGACGATGCCCTGAGAGGTGCACTTAGCAAGCGAGGGAGTACGGAGCAGTCTGTTGAGAAGGAATTGGGGTAATGGGTTTGAGAGAAGCAAGGGGGGAAGAAGGGAAGAAGTATGTGATTTGGGCGGTAGGTAGGGAGGGGGTAGGACTGTTTTCCAGAAAATAAGGACTCATTGTAGCACCGGGAAGATGGTGATAGTTTGTAAACTGCTGCTTTTTCTTTGAGTCGAGCAGCTCTGCTGTACGTACATAGCCTAGACCTGAGGATTCCTCCTCTCCCTTACAAACATTTCTCATATAAAATTGTTTCCTGTGTCCCTCAGCGGGGTGAAACTCAGACCTTATAAAATGTTATGGAAAAGACATGGCTGAATTAGACGATGGCTTAATGCATTGCAAGCATTCCTGTAGGAGAGAGCTCAGGTGGAGACACAACCCGGACCTGACAGGCGAACGCCAGCCCAGCACGATGCCTTTGTATCTTCATCAGTATTTTAAACTACTGGAAGTTCTCTTCACAGCAGAAGTGGTTTTCATTAAAGAAATTAATGATCACAGTTCTTTATTTGCAACAGATTAAAAAAAAAAAGTATGCTGGTGGTCAGAGCCAGGCACAGCCGCAGCTGCTGGCTCTGACTGCTCTACGGCATTCTGTTCCTGCCTCATTTAAATCTCAATCTCTGCATCTGCAGAAAGTGAGAATATGCATCAATCGACCAGAAACAATTAAACATGCCATGGGCTTCCCTAAGAGGTAAATGCACCTTATCTCACTTTAATGTCGAAGGACCAAAAGCCACCTTCCTTTTGTGCAGAGCAAAGCAAAATGCTTTCTGTACAACCTCTGCGATGCCAGGCAGTCACTGCTGCAGCCACAAGGCTGAGAAAGAAAAAATAAAACCCATCCTGAAACTGAGCTTGGAGAAAGACAGCACAAAGCAAATCTGTTAACTAGCTGCCGGCCTGTTCTTTTTACTCCAAAGAAAATCTCCCAGCCTTTGCACCCAGGGGCAGTTCAGTCTCTAATTTTGTGCCCGTTATGATGATGGGGGCGGACTGTGGAAGGAAATGACCTGTATTCGTGGAACGGGAAAGTGGCACGGATCTGTGTCCGAGTGGTGGGTCTTACACTCCCAGCAAAGCAGGTCAGTAAAATTCCCCTTGTACTGAGGATGTACAAAGAAACTGTTTGCTATTTACACGCTCAAATGAGTTTTCCCGGTCCTCAGATATTGATCTTACTAAATGGGTGTGTTTAATATAGCAAAGATTCCTCACAAATTAAAAAACATAGAAGTCAGGCTCTAGCATTCAGAGTTCTGTAAACAACTGTGCCAGCTAGCATCTGATAGCTCCTAAGCCATAGTTACATTTTTAATTGCGTTTTTTGAATGAAAAAAATCTTAGCTGAGGCTGACTGTTATCTGATATGCAGCCCTTGACGTGATACTAAGAAATGCATTTTTCAGTCAAATTCTAAACATAGTAAATGCACAACGGAGAACCGCGACGCTATTTTAGAACCGCCACTGCAGTTAACTAAAATTGATCTCTCTAACGAGTGCTAAAAATAGAAAGAAGAGAGCACACAATGACTTTTCATATCGCTCCCTGCAGGCTCCTTAAATACGGGTGAATATGACCTTCACGCAAAGCTGTCCTGAAGCGTGGGACAATGAGTGATATTTCACATTCCGCTGCTCTAGAACAGGAATTGATTTATTACCCAGCTAGCTGGGGAATTCGTTTACATGTTTCCATTTATAACACTGCTGCATCAAAGGAAAATAAAAAGGAGGTTTTTTGTTTTCTTTTATTCAGCAGTTTAGAAGCAAAGCATCAATTTTGGAAATAATAATATGCAATATAGTACAAAGTGTTATACTTGACAGCCCTTTTCCCTGGGCTTTCCTGCTAAAGGAGAATAAAACATAGGAATCTCTGATGTTCTCCCGACAGAAATTTTCCCCCTGTGAGAGATCCCACGTGAAAAAGGCACGAGATGATCCTGCAAACCTCGTGAATCGCGGAACAACCCTTCCTGCACCCCACGCACCAGCTCTGGGTTACTCTGGTGCAGCTGCACAAAAGCCCCAGCGATGAGATGTCTGCAGTTGGAAGCTGGTCTCAGAAGGAGAAAGCAGCATCCTCAGAAAAGCTGGGAAGAAAAGAACTTCTCTCATCCCACAAGAATTTCAGAAATAAAACTCTCATAAATTTTCATGAGCTCACCCCCACAATTTGTCATTGGATTAGATCCGAAGTGTTTTATTTCGATGTGGAAATAATGTAACAAGCTATTTTTTCTTACAGTTTACAAATGTAAATTGGACTTAATTTCTAAATGAAACTCCCTACACCTGAAACTGGAACATTTTCCATTTTGAAAGTTTCAAAAGAAGATGCTTGAACAACTTTGAAAGAAAACTATTTGTAAAGATGACCGAAATCAAAAGTAATTCTCTCATATGAAAAGGACTTTTTTCATTAGATGAGCATTGTTTTAAAAATCCCAGATAACTTCAGTTCCTGGCATTGCTGAAGATGGGAAGACAGAAGAAAGTCTATCTGCATTATCCATTGACATCTATCCTATTCTGATAGGGGCTACAAGTTTTCCCATTCCTTCTGCATACAGTCTGCAACAGAAAACGGGCAGTCCCAGCCGACTGCCAGGACTGGGGAATGGTCATTTCTCTCTCAACAAACTTCTGAAAGTGAGAGATGGAGATGCAGTGATACCTAACCCTGCAAAGCAGTACTGAGCAGATGTGATTTAAAGCAAAAACTCCTCAAGTTCATGGGCAGACATTTGTCCAGTGCCCACATAAACCATCAGCTGTCTCATCTAAGCACAATAAATTGTGTAAACAAGCTTTGATTTGCTATTCAAACAGCACTCAGAGGCTGCAGACAAGATAAAATTCTTAAACAAAGAATCAGCTGACATGCATCAACTTAAATCCAAAGCTTTAACGCAACATACAGACTTTCCCCTAACTTGCTCTACAGTTATTCTCTACGCTGCTACTTCCCATCGTTCATTAGTTTTTTTCCTGACCACGAGCTTACCTGGTCCTAGCTTGGAAACTGCATAAAGGAGGTCGTAGTTGATGACAGGTGTTGCATCATCTATTGGTTGCCACCCTACAGGTGGGGAGGCTGGAGGTGAGATGAGAAACTGTTTTGCAGGCTGTGGTGGTGCCAAATGAAGCTTGTCCCCATCCGTCTCAGGGGTCTGAATCTTTAAAAGCGTAACAAATACATTGTTTAGTACAGGGTGGGTAAGTGGAATGATTACTCAAATCATACACTTCTAATACCAAAAGCCCCCCCAGGCAGGGTTTCAGCATCAGTCTCAGCAGAGAAGGGCTGGAGATGAATTTCGGCTCAAGCTTACAGATGGCTCCTCTACAGCAAAGACACTGTGGGGAGCTGCTATATGAGCAAAGTGACAATGTTTGTGCCTATTCTATATGTTCTCTGAGGATAAATGCAAAGCTTTGGTATCCACAGCTGCTAATTTGGAGATTTTTGAGGCTGAAAAGATCCTGTTGTGATCTCTTGGCCTAAACTCCTAAATAAGAACGGACATTAGACAAGAAAGCATCAAGTCCTGCACTAAGGCCTTATCAGTAAATTCAGAAACGTTTCTGAAGACTTGATTTCTTTAACCAAAGTGATAAAGGAGTCTGTCGTGCTCCTTAGTCATTTGGAAGTACTTGTTTTCATTTTATCTCCATCTTTAAATGATCTAGTTTAATTCCTGCTTTTTTTCCTGTATACTGAAGAAGTTTCAACATAAATGATTTATACTACAGCCATATCTGAGCAAGTTTACAACCAGCTCGGGCCCAGAAGCAATAAAGTGTATTTGCACAACAGCCAGCCGGGGTCAGCTGCATCCTGCTGTACCACAGGGGGTGTTGCAAAGCGCCAGTTTGGGTCTCTCAGCTCCAGGTTCCCCAGAACTTCTGGTTCTGGAAATGCTTATTCAATGTGGCTTGGGCTGACAGAACCACAGACCACTCCAGACACTGTGCTCCCTTCACAGATTTGTTCTCTGGGCACAAGGAATAAAACTGCATGTGCCAGAGAGAGTAGTGCAGGCACCTAAATGGCTCTGCAGGAAACCAGCTTACATACGGAGACTATCGCTATTATGCACGTTTTTCCTCTTTTTGTGTTCTCCCAAGTTTCCTATTAACTTCATAATTGTTAGAGTTAAACGATCTGCTTAACGGCAGGTTTTGAAACCCTTCAGAAAAAACTCAGAGCCGGATCTAGGAGATTAAGGCATATCAAATAGGATCGAGGTAGACTGCCAACCTACATCCAACTGCAAGATCTTCTGAACTCATCTAACCCAGTAAGCACATTGTTTTTTTCACAACTGTAGTTTTCCATCTTCCTGAGGTTCTGCCTCTGTCTAAGTTCAAAACAGCTCTTATTCTGACCAGGCTACAGAGGCTCAAAGAATAACTGCCTCTGAGGTTGGACTGGTATCTTCACATGAGCCTGCCCTGAACCTAAGACCTCCGAAAAACCAACGTGGCAGCTCAAGGCCAATTTACATCACTTAGAAGCACTAGTGAGTATCCCACAACCCACAGTGGCCACAGCATCTTATTAAAATACATTCAGAAGAGGTGGTGGTCAGGCTCTCAACATCCATCACCTTTCTGTATCCTAGCTGGGGCCTAGTGCTCAGCCAGGCTGTGGCACATCTGGCCAAGAAGAACTAAAACCCCCATCTGACGCTTCCAAAAGATGGATGTAACACCCTGTGCACGCAGGCTGGGGGTATTCTTCTCCCCCTTTCCCCTTTTACTTAAACTTACTGAACTCCTTTTAGAAAATTCACATATGTATTCAGTAAGAGGGGAAAAAAAGTAAAAGAGAGGCAGGAGGAAGCCTGACTGTTGCTCAGGCTTGTGGTCAAGTAAGTAATTCAGCTCTGCTTTTTTTTTATGAACATATGATACTTTACATTACCACATTTTTATGGTTAGTTTGGAGACTTAGCCACAGAAAATACCCAATGTTGTAAATCCCTTCTAAGCTATGTAACTTCCGTGTGTGGAATAAGCAACTTGGGTCCTAACTGGTTCTTTAAATTTACTGCAGCCCCACGGGGCTGGGACAGCTCAGGATATCTGAGTAATCTTTTAGCAGAGAGACTGGGCATGGGGGAAACCCTTATTACTTTTATTCAATGCTACTGGCCAATATTTCTATAAAAGCTTTGCACCAACATAGAAGGAGATACCGAATTTCATTACCTGTGCAAAATACAGCTTTAACTTCTTTCCTCTGAACTGTGTTTCATGCAGCTCTATTCTGGCACGAGCAGCTGATTTGGGACTACTGAAATTTATCCGCACACGCCTGAAGCTTTTGAACAGCTGGAATGTGACGCAGTCGTCATAGGCACGGAACAAGCCTTCAAATTTTTCCTGCAAATGAAAAAGAAATAACACTGAAATGCTCTGTCACATCAGTCTGTGTCAAAGGATAATCTGAAGCTTAACTGCTTCAGATAACTGCTTAACCAGGAGGTTTCAGCTTGTGGCCTGTGAGGGTGGGTGTCCATAGACTAATAAGAGCTCTATGAAAAAAAGCTAAGGAAGGCAAAACATTTGGAGGAAGGAGAGGCAGCTATTGAGCATCTCATAAAAGTTGAGCAAAACTGTGAGCAGTGACTTAGGAAATTCAGCTGAGAGGGGCATAATGACTGAAAATACCAGAGCCGTGGTCTCATCTGTACAAAAGCAAACATTGTGCTCAAATACAGTGGAGTCAGCAGGCAAAGTGAGGCTCCCTGGGACTGAGGGTCACAGTCACATCAGCACTGCAGCGTCATTTTGTATTGTGGGTTGTGCTTTGCTGCATGTTTTGTCATTTAAATACTTAGTGCCAATATACACTTATTCCTTGAGAGTTCCTGTAGCAGCAGGGTTAATATTAGATTACTAAAACCAGTACCACACCTATGGACCTAGAGGTAACAGAAATTCAAGGTATGTTAGCAGCCTCGGAGGATCAGACTCCCTCTGCAATTTCTCTGCAAACTGTGTGCACACAGACTAGTTCCACATCATCAAATAAACCCAAAGTCCTCCAATCAGTTCTGACACACTTGCACAGGCCTTCTCATTCACACGAGCATAAATTCATAAAATATTAAGACTGAGAGGGAGCAGTTATCACTCAGTCTAGCCTTTGTGGTCACTCAGACTTTAGACTGCCTGCCAGTGAGACTCACACAAAGTCCCAGCATTTTGACTGCTGCAACCAAGGGTTTAAGTCTGAGTAGATGGAGATCAGTGAGAGCCAAGCTCCTTCTTTTAGGAGTTCTTTATCCTGAAAAAGCCCCGATTTTTTGAGATTATTTCCCACATCATTTCATACTCTGAGGGCTACTATGCAAGGTGTTTGTATAATTACAATAACGTGATCCTTTTTTATATATATCTGCAAGGAAGCATGTTTTTACATGTTTTAAAAAATAACTTCTCTTCCAGGAAAACAATTTCTTATACATTAAAATGGCCAGCTGGTAAAGGCTTGCAGAGGATGAAGTGGAAAACAAGATTTATGTAATCTCATCAATATTGCGGTTCCCATGTGTTGGTCCTACAAGCAAGACAAAGAATCCAGAACTTGTTAGAAAAATGTATCCTGAGGCACAGCAAAGCTGCCTCAGGGAGCACTAACAGCACTGTGGGAGCGCCTCCGGTCAGCAGGATGCATTTGTTGAAGAGTTAACTAAGAAACCAGACGGGTTTTGTGGCAAGGAGTACGAAACCCGAACGCGCTTGTACCAGATCTCCTTTCATTCACTGCCAGCTCTCTGGTCCTCTTCCCCAGAACTGATATCCCATCTCTGGCACCCTTTCAAAGGAACCTCCCTGCGGTCTATTAAGCTTTCATGAATTTCATTTCATTTCGCCTGACCTCACTCACCTCCTCCTCTCACCACAGGAGATACTTTGGCGGAGGAAAAGAAAAAGAGGAAAGAATCCAGTGGTTTCGCTGAGGGTGAATAAAGACGTATGGTCGTCCCATGAACAGCAAGAAGTTGATAAGCTTGTAAAAGCAGGTCTAGTCATACCATCTAATGTTCAAACAGGCAACATTTCATGCCTGAGTTATGTTTTTTAACTGCTTTGCTTACAGTTTTGCCAAATCCCATTTTCCTGAGCAGAAGCCTACATCCAGTGACAGCTGTATAAAGATCAGCCAGAAGCAGCAGTCATCTCTGTCCTTTCCTGCTTGGGATTTTGATGCTACAACCTTCGTAATCAGCACGGCAAGAGGGTTGAGGAAAGGGGGAGAAAGGGACAGAGGATCACATATGTGTAAAGTAGAACTTACACAGTGTTCAGAAAGATGCAGTACTGTGGATAATCTAAATAACAGATAATAGTGACTACTTCAAGTTTATGTCTTGATGTTACCCGTATTACTTATTTCAGACTTCAATATTTTTTAAGTACCTTAAAGTAAATAAACTTCAATATATGTATAGATAGGAGAGAGATATCAAGGTTTTTATATTTTTATATATTGATACATATATATACATATATATATGAGACAATGAAAGTATTATAAAAGAAGCCACATAAGCTAAAACTAAGCAGCAAGGTGAACATTGCCAAGTCCCTCGTAGTAGCTTTTTTGTCAAAAACGAAATCATTCATCATATATAAAAAAAGATAAATTTCACCAACCGTGGAAGAAACGATGCACGGACTTGTCTGGATACGCGCAAGTAAGTATCTGTCACGGCTGACTATTTGTCAGGAAACAGATTCTCCCTGTATCAATGCAAGAGTATTTTTGTGCATCGGCCAGTCGCTCTTTGTGCACAGCATAAATGACAGCCCAGAACCAAGATCGTGGGGAGGGACATAAAGCAAAAGAGGGGAGGACAAGACTTCAAATGTGGGTGCAAGAACACTGAGAGCAAAGAATGTTCTGGGCATATTTCTGGCCAATACCGAGACGCATTGTCCCTTGGCACCGACTGGGACAGATGTGAGTATCTCTAAATAAAGCTGATTAAGTACTGGACACCAAATGTAACGCTGGGAGAACATTAAAGCGCTACAGACTTTATTCTGCTTACTTTCCAGTTTGGTACTGGCACAGCTTGAGAGATCCTGCTTTGATTAACCCTCCTAAAAATGCCGCAGGGAGGAGGGAAACAAGCCCTCTGTTTGAGGGCTCTGTTAACACAGGGCAGTGGATCCACAGCGGGGACGCATCTCCTCCATGGGCTGGAACGGCATTTCTCATTAAAAAAAAAGGTTCGTACCTCCGAATTTTTCTACATTTTCAGCGGATAATAATAATGAGCTCAGCAGAGGTCATTAATCATCAACTGCACTTATCAGCCCTCAGCTGCATCTTGAGCCATCCCAACTCCTCCCAGCTTGATATTAATTCCCAGAAAATGTCTTATGACTTAATTGCTATTGCCTGTGACTTCTAATTTCTGCTGAATGTACTTATCTGGATACAAATCCTTCAGAGTCATTCCAGTCTATAAGAAAATGTATCATATACATTTTAAAGAACTAAGCAAATTCTCTCCCTTTCAAGTTTTGTGGATAAATTATGCAAGACGCATAATCCTCTCAATTCAGACCGTTTAAAGCACTTTTAGGGTTCAGTATTTTTAAAATTTATTTTTTTTTTTTAAAAAGACTTTAAACTTTCAGAATACTTTGAAAACTCCTGAAAAAAATAATTGAGGAATGTCCAAAGTTAAGCAGCAGTGTTGCTACCCTTAAAAATTTGAAATGCAGGAAGTAATGAGTTACACAATTATTTCTGGGATTTTGACATGTCTTTGTCCATCCCAGGTACGTACTAGACTTGATGGTACTGGTGGATGAAAAGCTGGACGAGAGCCAACAATGCGAGCTTGCAGCCCAGGTGGCCACTCGCATCCACAGCAGCGTGGCCAGCAGGGCGAG